GTCTGTCAATGCCGGCACATGCCAGGTCACTTCTCACAGAAGAACAAAGCCCAGACTCCCCTTTCTGACACCCAAGTGTCCCCAACACAATCTCTAGTGGCTTTCATCCTACATGCCTAACACCCCATCACATTTGGGCTCTTCCAAGTGACCCACCCAGCCCTGCCTTTCCCTTTTCCTGGGCCTTCACTCACCCTGTTCCACCAACCTGGCAAGATCTTCCTCACCCCACTCTGCCCTTCTCAAATGCCACCTCTTCTATGAAGCCCCTTTTGATTTATCCAATGAGATGGAACCGCTCTCTCCTTTGTCTCTTCCCACTTTACTTTTAAATGTTTATCTCAACCCTACTTCCTACTCTAGTCACCCAACACTTACTGAGCTGCAAGCTGCCTCGGGGATAAGGTTTTATCTTATTCATTGCTATATCCCTGGCAGAGATCCTAGCACGTAGGTTTTAACACATGGCATTTCCCCCTTTATCATATAGCCATTAAGGAGAATTTATGAGCTCCCAAACTTCCACGCTTTGAGAAAGATCAAGTTGTAGGAGACGGAAACAACCACCTAGCTGATGGTGGGACTTAGATGTTTGGTTTCTTCCCAAGCAGAGCAAAGATGGGGACTTAGTTTCAAGAGTTGTAAGGAGATGGTTCTGGTAAACAAGGATTGGGGAAAAAGTCAATAGAATATGTTATTGAGGTTGCCTCTTTGGGCATTAGGGGCCATATTCCACCGGAAGCTCTTTTTTTTTTAATGTTTATTTCTTTTTGAAAGGTGGGGGGAGGGGAAGAGAGAGATAGAGGGAGACACAGAATCTGAAGCAGGCTTCAAGCTCCAAGCTCTCAGCACAGAGACTGACACGGAGCTCGAACTCATGGACCATGAGATCATGACCTGAACCGAAGTCAGACACTTAACTGACTGAGCCACCCAGGTGACCCTCCACTGGACGCTTCTGAATAGCATCCAGAACACCTCTCAGGATGATTCATCTGAAGGACAGGTGGCTGGGGAATTTACCTTCTGGCTCACATGTACCCTCAGTTAGGGTCTGCTCCCGTGAGGTCATGAGCTCCTCTGCACTTCCAGGCTCTGCATATGTAAAGGCCAAGAGGCTTCTCGTGTAGCTGGCAAGGGCCCTGGGGCAGAAAGTGAAAAGATGCACAGCACATGGTTGAGGAGGGACCTGGGTGGTTTGAGGAGAGTCTGAGTTTGCGCTAAGTGTCCACTGAAGCTGTGACTCAAGTCTGAGGTGGTCTCAGAGAGTGTGATGTGGGGCACGGTCTTGGGTGGAGATTCCTGGAAACAGAGTGGAGGCGGCAATGGGAAGTATTCGGGACAACAATAACTCTAGAAGAGTAAGGGAGGTGGGATTAGGCAGAAGCAGAAGTGAATGCTAATCACTAAAGCACCAGGGGTCTTCTGCCAGTGCCAGAAGGGTCTCTGAAGCTAGGATGGCCCTTCAGAAATGTTTTGAATCAAGTCAGGGCACCTTGTCCTTGTTAGTGTCACATCAATCAGTTATTGAATGTGTGCTGCTCCAGAGAGAAGGCATAAACTGGGTTTCCCTCCAGTAGATGGCAACTCCAAGGGAGGGTCCCTGCAGAAGCCAATGGCAGGCAATGGTCTTAGCAGTTTGGGAAGGAGAACTTTGACCTTGGAGCAGGCATCCAGGTGGTGCCCCCCGCATCCACTATAAGCACCAAATGCATCTCCAGAGTCTACCCTTGGCACAGCTCAGATCAACTTCTGGCTCCCATTACCTCCTCTGTCAACTGAGCCTTTAAAGTGTTTTTTAGCTTCCCACTCTGAAAACGCTTAATGTAGGAGGCTTGCCTAAATAAACTCCAGTCACCACCGGCATTTTTAATTGACTTTTGCCATCTCCCTCCTCTCCCACCTGTTCTAGATTCCCGTCTCTGTGATAAGCATTGCAGCTACTCAGGGCTACATGTCCTTTGCAATGATGTAGACTTTCCTCTTGAGGGCTGTGGAGCTTCAGTAGCCTTGCTCACTGGATGTGCACTTGTTCATTTGCCATTTCCCCTGGGTACAGAAAACTGAAAGACACTCTTTGAATCCTCTTGTTTCTAGCCACATTCCTCCACATTCTTCATTGCTCCCATTTTGTAGCAGCAATACTTGTCCCTCCAAAGAACTCCTTTCTTTTTTTTTAACACTTTTTTTAAGTCTACTTATTTATTTTGAGAGAGGGAGAGGGAGAGAGAGAGAGACAGAGAGAGAGAGAGAGAGAGAGAGAGAGAGAGAGAGAGAGAGCACAAGCAGGGGAAGGGAAGAGAGAAGGAAAGACAGAAGCCCAACCAGGTTTTACATCATTAGCACAGAGCCTGATGGGAGTCTTGAACTCATGAACTGTGAGATCGTGCCCTGAACTGAGATCAAGAGTCACACTTAACTGACTGAGCCACCCAGGTGCCCCAAGAACTCCTTTCTTTACTGGCTGATCCACAAGCATGAGGAGCCCGAAGTGACAAGGTACAGGCATATCTTCAGTGGCACCCTTATTGTGCTCCCTGTTGGAAATGCTCTTTCCCTTGGAACCAGATCCTCTGACCCAGAAGAACCTAAAGTGTGGAGACAGGAAGCACAAATTCTGCAGGTTGGTCACTGGAAGTAAGAGGATTCAATTCTACTTTTGCCTCCTGGACCCTTACTTTGTGGCCCTTGGAGACCACAGCAGGCTCAATAATGGCCTGCAATGATATCAAGTCCCAATTTCTGGAACCTATAAATGCTACCTGATAAGGAAAAAGAATATTTACAGATGTAATTAAGTTAAGGGTCTTAGCCAGCTGGGCCCTAAGTGCCATCACATGTGTTCTTATAAGAGAAAGGTAGAGGGGAAGAGTTACAGACAGAAAAGAGAGGCAGAGACTGGAAGATGGGGACACAAGCCAAGGACTGCTGGAGGCCACGAGAAGTTTGGAGAGGCAAGAAATAATGTACCCTAGAGTTTCTGTAGGAAGCACAACTCTGCCATCACGTTGATTTGGGCCCATTGATATTGATATCAGACTTCTGGCCTCTAGATCTGTGAGAGAATTAAAATCTGTTATTTTAAGTCATCAACTTTATTGGCAATTTGTTACAGCAGCCACAGGAAATAAATACAGGGACATGGTGCTATACGATGTTCTGGTTTATTCTTTTTTTAATGTTTATTTATTTATTTTGAGAGAAAGAGAGCACGTGCATGAGCAGGGGAGGGGTGGAAAGAGGAGAGTGAGAATCCTGAGCAGGTTCCACCCTTAGCATGGAGCCAGAGGTGAGGCTCGATCCCACGATCATGAGATCATGACCTGAGCCAAAATCAAGAGTTGGAAGCTTAACCAACTGAACCACCCAGGCGCCCCTGGTTTATTCTTATACCACATACTGGAAACAAATAGCTTAACCTCTCAGGGTTTCTCCCCAAAGTGGTACCTAGCTCGGTTTTGATGTACCATTCTATTGTTCCAATAGACATGCATTCTCTGATTCATCAACAATACTTGTCAGGAAATAGATCTTTATAGTAGTTTTGACGATAGCACTTCTGAGCTCAGCAGATTGCAAGTTATGAGAGTCAGTGTGAGTTTACATGAGAGCCTCTTCTCCTGGGTGCAGAAGGCCCTCACTAGGCTATTGGTAGACAAAGGGCAAATGAGACATTAAGTCAGAATCGATCTCCTACTTCCTTCCCTTTCTCTGCAGAATGCTCAGATCAAGCAGATTTCTGATTTTTAGCTATAAAAACATGCCTGATAGTAGCAGCTTTAGTTATAGAAGTTTATGCTTTGCATATGTTCTATTTTCTACCCAGGTGTCTTGCTGAATTTAGGAAGTATAAACATCTGAACCTCAGCAGGACCTTTTGTTTTCCCCTCTTCTTTCCTTCTTTTTCCCCCTTCAATGTGGAAGGATCATTATAGCTTAAATCTTCCTCTGCAAAGCAAAATAAGTCCATTTATTCTCCTAGCCGACAAGAGCCTGGGTCTGCCTTCCTTTCTGTAGCTCTGAGTGCATGTTCTCCTTGGCAAGGAGAGAAAGAAAGGCTATTGAGTACTTTTTTCCCCGTCTGTTTGATAAAAAAGCATGTTTGTTTTTGTTCATAGATTTAAAGCCCAAAATGGGCCAGTACTGTAAATAAAACATGCGCTCTCATTTGAAAAATTTATTACAAGGAATTTTGTTTATGATTTCATCTTCTCCAGTAATAATTAATTGGAGGTCTTCTGTGGTCCCCACAGACCAACAATCATTCAGACTGTATGAAAGGATCATCCAACACAGCCTCTCTCCTGTCTCTCATCCATAGCCAGAGGAGCAGTGTCTGGGTGTGCTACAACGTTAGCCTGCTTTGGAGAAGTTCAGTTTATGATGTGACTGGCCTGTTCCAGTGTTTGGGGCCTATTTACAAGTCTGTCTGTGACACTGAAGTCAGAGCACCTTTTCAAGGATGCCTCAGATAAGGAAACTCTTCCTTTACACTATCCCCGTAGTTGAGAACCACACCCCATTTTACTTCTCGAGTGCTCAGAATGAAATTACTCAACTGTTTGGTTTAACAAAGGAAACACACATGTATACCCCTATCCACACAATCATATAAATGATAATACCTGAAAATTGGTGAGTATATTCTATGTACTGGACACTCTGCTAAGAGCTTTTTACATGAATGATCTCAGTTTCATAAAACAACTGTTTCAGTCAGGACAGGCTAGGTTATGACATGGTAACAAACAACCCCGAGATTTCCGTGGTTTACGATGACAAAGCTTATTTCTCTCTCTTGCTACATGTCCATTTATGTTTGTGGGAACCCTGTTCCATGTCACCCTCACTCTGGGTCCCAGAAGCTAAGCAGCCCATGTCTGGAACATTGGCAGAGGACAGAAAAGTTCCAGAAGATCTTACATCAGCAATTAAGTGGCACTTATCACTTCTGCTCACGACTTGTTGGCTAGGACTAATCTCATGACCCTTCCCATTAGGGAGTGAGGAGGTACAATCTGACTCTATGTCCCACAAGTCGCGATGTGGCAACTGGAAATGTTTACTGAAAATGGTAACCACACAACAACTTTGTAAGGTAGGTACTCAAAGTTTTTTTTTTTCCATTTTATAGATTTGCTGATTACAGATTAGGAAACTGAGGAATAGGGAGGATTTGTAACTTATTCTAGCTCTTGCATCTAATAACTGGGGGAGCCAAGATTCAGACTCAGGCAATTTGAAAGCATACTTCCCCCACCCCAACACATGCACTCATACGTGAGCATGCACATGCTTAAATACACACACACACACACACACACACACACACACACACACACATCCCTAGGTGCTAGTAGTTAAGTGATCCAGGAGCTGTTAGGTCACTGTATCCTGAAAATGCATCCAGGAGTGGAAATACAGTGGTGAGTGTGAGCCAAAGTCCTTAGAAAGAATCGAAGGTCAAAGCAGGGAAACTATGCTTAGTCACTATGTCCAAGAGGCAGGATCAAGGCCAAGAAGGAAAAATAAAGAAACTAAAAGCCAAGGGTCAAGAACAGGACACACTGAAATGGGAATATGGTTGGCAGCAGACAGGGGATGGTCTAGTGCTAGATGTTAACCACACAGAGGCCTTTGTATTTCTGTAGCGTGGGTGGGCTTGGCTGGGTTCAGGTCTAGGGAAGAAGCAGAGCATGACGAATACTGCCTCAAGGCTGATCCTCTCATCTAATTCCTACTCTCACTGGGGGAGTGTGTCCTCTCCAAATTGGGTGGGAAAGAACTCAAATATGGTGGATAGAATCTTCTTTGGAAGCCAGACTTGGCCATGTTACTGCTTTAGGAGTTTGTCTTAGGGATTAGCCTTTTACCTGGGACTGGTCTGATCCCTTGTCATAGGGATTTATGGCAGAGACTCGGCTCTTCCATGATTCCCTTTCTTTCTGACTTTACATCCTTGCCTGCTTGCGTCTCATTCTTGTTGCCAGCCAAGGGTTTTTTGATATGTGTTTGGCAAGGTCCTTCCTGAAAAGGATGATTGAGAGTTTAATGAAGGGACTATTGACAAAGGACCAGACAAGGTTAAGGCAACTAACAAGGATGACGAGGTGCCCTGAGTCTAGCAACTTTGGGAGGTGTTACCTAGTAGAGGGAGCAGTTTATCAGACCCAGGGAGAGCTATGGCTGTAAGAGAGACCTCCTGATAGGGGTCAGATCTTAAGTAGAAAAACATGGTAAGAAGGGAGCTGGGGAAGTAAGTGCCCCAATTTCTCCCTTATTCTACATTCTGATCTACTGATGAACCTGAATTCAACCAAAAACCAAAGGGCAAGGGAATCTAGGTAATGAGTCTGTCAACCTCATATTCCCAGGGTACAGAGGGTAAAAAGGACAGAGAGAGCAAAAAATATCCAGCACATATGCTGGATATGGTTTTTGCTCTTGATGCTTCTGATGAGTCTCATCTCCTCAGCTCCACGACCACCATCACCCACTGTGGTCACTCCAAGTGACAGCAGCTGTGTGTGGTCCTTTGGCTGCTACTCTTGGGTCTGCTGTTTGTTCATCCATTAAGTCAGCCATTTGAAAAAAAATTTTTGAACAAGCTGTTATGAGCCACGTCCTGTTTAAGATTCTCAGAATCCAGTAGTGAGCAGAACCGAGTGCCTGCCCTCGTGGAACTTACATTCTAGCAAGGAAAGCTGATGATAAAGAAACTTACACAAGGCTATGTTACAGGTACACTAGCTGTGAAAATGAGGCAGGGCAAGAGAGAAAGAGTGATGTGAACCACTCTTTTAGGTAGGGTTATCAGGAAAGTACCCTCAGAAGAAACTGTCATCACACGCCATGCGCATAGAAATGCAATGGTGTGTGGTTCGTACACCATCTTTATCGTTTAGGAAATTTCAGTGCCTTTAGGAACAATGCATTACATTAAAAAATTGAAAGGACAAAGCTAACTAACAATTCAAAAGGGCTATTTCACAAAGTAAGAGAACGAGGCACTCTTTGAGAGCTTAGAGCTCATAGGAAGAAGTCCCTGCCCCAGAGAAATCAAGGGAGGCTTTGTGAAGGAGGCAATGCATTCAAGTTCCATTACGGATAGAGACATTGACTAGGCAGAAAGGAGCAGGGAGGACATTGTGGGTGGGGGAAGGGAAGCTAGTGTGAGCAAAGTTGCAGAGGTGACAATGAGTTATTGACAATGGGGGAGGATGGATGCAAGCTAATGAGTTTTGCAGGCTGCAGGCAAGGTTTCTACATATGCTTTGAATTACCCTGCAGCCAACTGGCATCAAAATGTGTTAGGGTAGTAGCTGGCGTAGTGGCAGAGTCAGGGCTAGGTTGAAATTTTCTCTCTGCCCATAATGAGCTGTGTAACTCTGTGCAAGTTTCTGAGTTTCCTTGAACGTCAGTTTGCTCATCACTAAAGTGGAGAGGAAGTCCTAATTGGGATGTCCATTGCTATGCTTGGATGTGAAATATTTGGCACAGTGGCACATAGTAGGCACTAAAGGACTATTCTTCTTCTTGGCCTAAGAAATGAACAATAAAATGTTCTACTTGTCTGGACAAAAAAGAGCAATTAAGGTTGAGATAGGAAGCCAGCTTTTATGGTCGTGGAAAGCACAGGCTCTGGAGTCAGATTGACTGGATTCTAAACTGGGCTTCTCCATTTTCCAACGAGTGAACTGGGGTAAAATGGTAAGTAACCTCTTTGGACCTCATTTTTTAATCTGTAAAATAGGATGCTTACAGTGACTATCATGCCTTGTTGTGAGGAGTCCATAGAATGCTAAAGAGCTTAGTGTGGTCCCTGGCACAGGGCAAGTACAGCTATTGTGTGTTTATTGTGATAACTGTCATTATTGACTCAAAACAATCCCTGCAGTGCTGGAATTCCCATCTGCACTGGATGAGAGCTTCCACCCGAGGCTGGGAGATGGTGGCTGTGGTGGGGATGGCAGATGTACCGCTCTCATTGGTGAGATGTGGAAGGATCCATTTCAATGCAGGAGAGAAGAGAGTGTGTGTGCAAGAGTGGGGAAAGCCTGTGTCCCAGCCAGTGCACCAGCAGCCCCACTCCTGCCTTAGCTCTTACCAAGCCCATGAATTACAGAGTTGGATACACTCTGGGAAACCACTTATTCACACGATTTTACCACCCTATTTAGAGAGGGACAGCTAAAGTCCAAAGATGGGTAAAGACAGATGATCTCTGATTCCATCCACTCCTTTCTCTTTGCTGGCACTGCAAGTGCATGACAAAGTCAGGATCAAAACCAGACCCACTGAGACTCGGGGCTGTTATTTTTTCCATCAGCATCTTCCCTTTGCTCCTTCAAAAACACCATGCCCTTTCAGAAGCATCCTTCCTGAAAGCAGCCACCTTAAATGTTATACTGCCTTCTCTCACTCTCCATTCCAGTGGAGGGGACTTGACATATCAGGAGGGGTGGGAGGAAATGGATCAAGGAGAAAGGAGGGACTGGAGTGTCCCCCAGTGGGAACCCCATTCCAAGGTCAGGCTCCAGAAAGGGCCTTGTATACTGTCACTTTGCCAACTCATTCGTTCATTCTAGAGTACTAGGAGATCTTTTCTGGTGTATTCTCATGGATTTTTAACATAGATGATAATGTCAGCTGTGAATAAAGACAGCTTTATCTTTTTCTCTTCCAAAGTCTATGCCTCTTATTTACTTTTATTGCCTTATTTCACTGGCTAGGACTTCCAACGTGTTGGACAAGGGTTATGAGAGCAGACATCCTTCCTTTGTTCCTGATCTTAGGGGGAAAATATTCAGTCTTTCACCATTAAGCATGATGGTAACTGCAGGGTTTTTTTGTTTTTGTTTTGTTTTGTTTTGTTTCTGTAAATTCCTTTTATTAGGTTGAGAGAGTTTCCATCTATTTTCAGTTTGCTGAGAGATTGTTTCTTTTTTTTTTCCCCTCTGGAGTTATTTTTTAATCATGATTGAAAAATTTTGTCAGATTGATAAAACCATATAATCTTTCTTCTTTAGAATATTAATAAGGTGCTTATGTTGATTGAGTTTTGAATATCAAACTGGTCCTACACTACCAGGATGAGCTCCATTGATCATGGCTTTACTATTTAATTGAGATTTGATTTGCTAATTATATGTTGAAGATCTGTGTGTCTATGTTCATGAGGGCTATTGGTTTCAAATTTCTCTTCTTGTAATGTCTTTGTCTGGTTTTGGTGCCAGGGTAATGTGGGCCTCATAAATGAATTGAAAGTCTTCCCTTCTGTTCTACTTTCTGGAAGACAGCATGTAGAATTGGTGCTATTTCTTCTTTAAATATTTGCTGGATTTGCCAGTAAAATCATGTGTAACTGAAGATTTCTTTTTCCAACTCAAGCTTTCTAATAGTTATAATAAAACTATTTATATGATGGATTTCATTTGTAGTGAATTTATGGTTTTCAAAGAATTGGTCCATTTCACCTAATGTGTCAAATTTATATGTGTAGGGTTGTCTTACAAATACTTACTAGCCTTGCCATGTCTGTGGGGTTTGTCATGATATCCTCCCATTCACTGCTGATATCAGAAATTTGTAGGGTTTTTTTTATCTTCCTGCCTTTGTTAGTATTGCTAGAGGTGTATTAACTTTATTGATACTTTCAAAGAGCAAGGTTTTTGTTTCACTGAAATTCTCTCTTTTTTTTTTTCTGGTTTCAATTTTATTTATTTCTGCTCTTTATTTTTTGTTCTTCTGCTTGTTTGGGGTTTATTTTGCTCTTTTTCTAGCTGCTTCATGTGGAAGTTTAGCTTATTGATTTGAGATATTTCTTCCTTGCTTCTATAAGCATCTAGAGCTATAAATATTCCTCTAAGCAATGCCTTAGCTGCATCTCACAAATTTTCATTTGTTGTATTTTTTATTTTTCAGTCAGCTCAAAATATTTTCTCATTTTTCTTAAGAATTCCAATTTGATCCATAGGTGATTTAGAAGTATGTGGTTTAATTTCCAAGTATTTAGAGACTTTCTTGTTATCTTTTCAGTACTGATTTCAAGTGTAATTCCATTTTATTTTATTTTTTTAATTTTTTTTTAAAGTTTATTTATTTTTGAGACACAGAGAGACAGAGCATAAACGGGGGAGGGGCAGAGAGAGAGGGAGACACAGAATCGGAAGCTGGCTCCAGGCTCTGAGCCATCAGCCCAGAGACTGACGCGGGGCTCGAACTCACGGACCGTGAGATCGTGACCGGAGCTGAAGTCGGACGCTTAACCGACTGAGCCACCCAGGCGCCCCTAATTCCATTTTAATAGAAAGGCACACTTTATACGATTCAATGCTTTCAAACTTGTGAAGGTTTGCTGTATGACCCAAGATATGGTCTATCTTGGTAACTGATCGTTGTAGATTTTGAAAATGTGGCCTCTGCTGCTGGGTGGAGCATTCTCTAAATGCCCGTTAGATCCGGGCACCCAGTGGTGCTATTTACTTAGTTCTTATACACCCCTGCTGGTTTTCTCTCTACATGTCCTGTCAATTACTGAAAGAGAAGTTTTGAAATTTCTAGCTATAATTGTGGCTTTGCCTATATTTTCAGTTTGGACCATTTTTGTTTCATATGTCTTGAGGCTCTGTTGGTAGATGTATCCACATTTAAAATCATTAAATCTTCCTGGTAAATTGACTCTTATCATAATATCCTTCTATATTGCCTATCATTTTCTTTGCACTGAAATCAACTTTATCTGATATTTTACAGCTACTGCAGCTTTTCTTTTTGATGAGTATTTGCATGGTATGTCTTTTCCCATCATTTCACTTCTAACCTTCCCATACGGCTGTATATAAAGTGAGTTCTTTGTAGACAGTTTTAGTGAGTCTTTTATAAAAATAAAAAATCCATTCTGAGAATCTCTGACTTTTAATTGGTGTGTTAAGACCTTTGGCGTTTAAATGTATTTATTGATATGTGTGGATTTAGGTCTCCCATATTATTATTTGTTTTCTCTTTGTTCCCTGTGATTTATTGCCTTTGTTTCTCCTTTTCTTTTTTTGGATTGTTTGAAAATTTTTAAAAAATTATTCCAAATTAGTTTAATTGTTGTGGTTTTGACTATTTTTTGTATATTTATATTTAGTGGTTATTAAGATATTAAAATATACATACTTGTATCCTCACAGTCTATTTGGAATCAACGTTTTCCACTACCAGTGTACCGTAGAAACCTTATCTCCACATAGGTTCCTTTCTCTGTGTATTTTATAGTTTTCTACATGTTATGTCTACATGTATTGGAAACCCCATCAAACAGTGTTATGATCTTTGCTTTCAGCCATCATATATTTAAATAATTCAAGAGAAGATCAATAGTTTATCATATTTAACTACATATTTACTATTACCATTGCTCTTCCCTTATTTGTGATATTCCAAATGTCTCTGTAGTATCATTTCCCTTTGCTTAAAGATTTTCTATGTCAATTATTTTAAGGCAAGTCTACTTGGCAACAGATTTCTTTATTTCACCTTTGTTCCTAAAGGATATTTGCATTTCTTTTTTTTTTTCTTTTAGTTTTTAAAATGTTATTTATTTATTTATGAGAGAGAGAACACAAGCAGGGTAGGGGCAGAGAGAGAGGTAAACACAGAATCTGAAGCAGGCTCCAGGCTCCAAGCTGTCAGCACAGAGCCTGACCCGGGTCTTGAACTCACCAACCACGAGATCATGACTTTAGCTGAAGTCGGACACCCAACCAACTGAGGATATTTGTATTTCTAAGTTGACAGCTCCTTTCTTTCAACAATTTAGAAATGTTGTTCTACTTCCTTCTCCAATGACCCAAATGTTGACACTTTTGTTATTATATGTTATTATATTGGATCATATGGTAGTTCTATTTTTAATTTTTCGAGGAACCTCCATTCTGTTTTCCGTAGTAACTGCACCAACTTACATTCTCACTAACAGTGCACACGCGTTCCTTTTTTTCTACATCTTTGCCAACACTTGATATCTGTTGTATTTCTTATTTTAGCCATTATGACAGGTATAAGATTCTATCTCACTGTGGTTTTGATTTGCATTTCCCTGATGATGAGTGATGGTGAGCATCTCATTTACTCTTGAGAACCCATTTAACCTCGTGGAGGAGGGCTGGCATATCAGCAGGTAGAATTTAAGTCCTAGGTTAGCCTGAACTGGATTTTTGATTGTTGTTGCCCTTTTCTGTTGGTATTGTTAGAAAAACAAGGGGTCTCAGTCTTTCTACTGCCCCTTCTCATCTCAGTCTGAATCATAACCAGAGCCTGGAGGCTTCTAATGTTTTTCAGGGACCAGATTTGTCATCAGATCCAAGAGGCAAACACTGCTTCGCAGACGTACAGTGGCAACTATACTGTGCACTTGCACATGAGATGGCCCTCTACCTGTTTTGGCAACCACAAGACAGACCCTTTATATACAACCCTGGGGAGTCCTCCCTTCAGGACATCTTTCCATTGAAATACAGAGATGATGACTTCAGCCACTGTGGTGAAGTCTCAATGGAGGCCATTCAGGTAACAAAACTAAAAAAATGTATGAATGACTCAGAGGTTTTCTAAGGTGAAGAACAGCAGGAGGGATAGAAGAGGGAGAAGAAAGAGATGCATGTGTGGTCCCTGTCTTGACTAATAAGTTGGGAGTGACGTAGAAAAGTAACTCGATGCGGGCTGAATTTTGTTCCTCTAGTTCCTGAGTCCTGATAACTGAACTATAGACTTAAAGAGTGTTAAAACAGGAGGGTTACTGCCCCAGAGATGGTCTGGGGAGAACCTGCCAATCAGACCAGTGTCTGCCTTCCACCACAGGACAGGAGAAAGGCCACACAGCTCCCAGCTTCTGCCCCTCTGAAGAACACCTGGATGGCTACGCCCACACTCAGGACTGGAGGGACTGTCTGGCCCCTCATCAGACTAGCTGAAGGCCAAGATGGGAATCAGCACAAGTGGGACACCTGGCCTCAAATCCCAGCTTGGCCCCCACTTACTCATCTCTAAATGAGTACTAATATGGGGGCACCTGGGTGGCTCCGTCGGTTAAGCATCCAACTCTTGCTTTTGGCTCAGGTCATGATCTCACATTTCATGAGTTCGAGCCCCATGTCAGCCCTTTGTGCTGGCAGTAGGGAGCCTGCTTGGGATTTTCTCTCTCCCTCTCTTTCTGTCTCTTCCCTGCTTGCTTTCCCTCTCTCTCAAAATAAATAAACAAAACTGAAAAAAATTAAAAAAAAAAAAAGAAGGGTAAGAAACAACCTTATTCTATTACTGATCACACATGGTACTCCTCCTTGTCAAGCCTGTCATAACCTCCGAATATTCAACACAGTTGCCAGAGAAGAAATGTGTCATCCTTGATCCAAACCAATATTCCAGCAAGAGAGTGGCAAAACTGGGACTAGAATCTAAATCTTCTGCTCTCCCGTCCACTGCTATTTCACTGGTAGCCCCTCGTCTTTCTGCTCCAAAACTCAGAAATAGAAATGGTAACCCTACATGTTAGCAGGACTTTATATCTCCTAAAGGAATTGAGAAATTTCCAACTGTTTTTCTCAAAGACCTGTAGGGAAGACAAGAACCCCTAACCCAAATGGTAAAAGAAAAAAACTGTGCTAGTTTTTGGTCTCAGGAGGGCTTTCTGGAGCATCAAAGAGGATATACACCCTGCTGAGAGATGAATCTCACATGCTGTAGTAACCCTTATGTGACTTTCACAGCCGGGACATTAGCCTGACTTAATTTTTTGTTTAATTTTTAAAATATTTTTGAGAGAGAAAGAAAAAGAGAGAGGGGGAGAGAGAGAACCAGCAGGGGAGGGGCAGAGAGAGAGGGAGACACAGAATCTGAAGCAGGCTCCAGGCTCCACACTGTCAGCACAGAGCCCAATGTGGGACTCGCACTCCCGAACTCCTGAACCGTGCGATCGTGACCTGAGCCGAAGTCAGATGCCAAACGACTGAGCCACCCCAGTGCCCCAGCCTGAGTTCAGTGTTAATATGTCAGTGAATGCTTTGAAATATAAGGCGTGTGAGTGCCCACGAGCGTGTGCAGCCCTGTGTGCATGTTGTGCTCATGACTCCTGACAGCGTGCTGTGCGCAGGGACCATGTCAACATGCATGTTTTACGTGCTGACCCCTGTGCATGCTTCCAGAAGTGTCTGAGGGCACATGGGTTGGTGTGTAATGCATGTATGTGTGTGGACGTATGTGGAGGTGACCTATCGTGTTTGTCTCAAAAGCCGCAGGTGTTGCGAGTAGTGCTATGGCAGGTGCCACCTCTTTGCTTCTTGGCTGACTCCCCAGCCCTCATTAATACCCACGATTGCTCCACAGCCTTCCCATCACTAAGCTGTCCCAGCATCTGGATGCCTGCCAGTTAGAAGCAGGGACTCCTGACATTATCCAAGGGATGCTCCATTCTGTCCCATCAACCCTGGCTTCACCCCAGGACCGAGAATACTCCCAAGAGCCAGCAAGGAGGAATTCGCAAAGTTCAGTTACTCCCACCTGAAATGTCTCTCCTGCCAGGCCCATTATTGGTGCCCCTGCCAGCCCCAGGCTCCTGTGCCTGCTACCTCAGCCCTCCACTGAGCCCGTACTAAGGCCAGGCTGGGCCACAGACTTCAGCCCAGACTGTGCCAGACATGGGCCCTCTGGCAGACAGAGATGTGACCCCGCTGAGAGGCATTCTTCGCTTTGGGGAGCGGCAAAGAAGGAATTTCATCGTCCAGGAGGAACTTTCCTCCTACTATAATTCCCAGGGCCTAACACATAATTAGTTCTCAATATATGTTGAGTAAATGACTGACTGACTTCCTGACCGAGTGTGGATAATGCCTGCTGAGGTAAAAGACTAGGCGCTGTTTGGGGACAGGGTTGTGTACTCTTTGGTTTGCATGTTCTACTTGAGGCTGGCATAGTTGGAGTTAAAATTATGAATGGGCTGTCCCGTCGAGGTTAGCATTTAATGAGCACCTACTGTGTGTCAAGCACGAGGCCAGACCCTCAGGAAGAATGTCACAATGTTCTGGAGTGACAGCTGTATTTGTTTGCTAGGGCTGCCATAGCAAAGTACCTCAGACTGGGTGGCCTACACAACCTGTCAGCAGGTTCCCTTCTGAGGGCCACGAGGGAACGATCTCTGCTGGGCCTCGTTCCTGGGTTGGTAGATGGCCATCTTCTTGTTGTGTCTTCCCATCATCTTCTCTCTGTCTGCGTCTGGGTCTAAATTTCCTCTCGTTGGGAAGTCACCAGTCATACTGGATAAGAACTCATCCTAAGGACCTCATTTTAATTTAATTACTTCCTTAAAGACCCTGCCTCCAAATCCAGTTATATTTTGAAATGCTGGAGATTAGGACCTCATGATATAAATTTTGGAGGGTACACAGTTTAGCCCACAATACACATAGATGCAGGTCGTTGAAGTGTCACGTTGTCCATGAAGATTGCTTTGGCTTTCTTCGAGAGAATTTGGTACTCCCATAATAACCGCTGTGCGAATTTTGTCATGGTCGTTATGTGTTTAAGCCGCTATCTTCCTTCTAGTCTGAGGACTCGTGAGCTGGGCTTCAAGAGTTCATACTCTGTGTCTAGTATCTGGCATAACACGTGGTGCCAAGGAGTGCAGTAAATCCTTGTTATATGGAAGGACGGATGGAACTGATGAAAATGGAACGGAAGAAAATCACTAGAAAACGCTTGTGGCGGATCCCATGGTCCTGGTAATAAGTCTAAGGGAGCAGAGAGGTGTTGGACAGGCCTCTCAGAGGGGAAGCCCTGCTCTAGGCTCCGTCCACTGGCAGTTAATCTTGCTTTGCAAAGAGGGCAACAGGAAGAAAGTGTGCCCAAACCAGGAATCTCTCCACCAGGGGAGAACGCATCGTTCCTGGCTTTTCGAGCTGATAGGGCCCATGACTCCTGAGGTCACGCTGGAAGAACAAAGAGACTCTGCACCAGGTCTTGTCCTGTTTCAGTCCTAGCCCATATCCCACTTACCCACCCCTGCCCTGGTTGCCACATTCCTTTCCTGGAATCAGTATGAGGGCAGCCAGGCAGGAGTTTTCAAATAAAAAACCCAGAATGGAGGTTGAAAATAGTGAGGGATGCTCTTCCTCCGAGGACTGACGCCCTGAATGTACTAGGGTCTTCATCGGGTGGTAGCCCCTGTTTCCATACTGCTGGTCTAGAACACTTCACTGGTACAGCCAGGCTGCCTCCTGCCCCCACCACGCAGCCCCCTGTGTTTCTGGGGTCGCTGCCTTCACCTGTCCCCTCCTCCAAGAAGGCCTGAGTCTAGGGCAGGAAAAGTCATCTTCCCACCTTTGCCCCCCATCCTGGACCTATTTCCCTTGACTCTCCCCAGCCTTACTACCAGAAGCATAGCCCTCTTTGTGCCTGTTGCCCTACCTCTGTCTGGGATTCCCAGAAAGGCCAGGCTTGGTACACAGTGCCCTTCCATGTCCCCTGCCCTACCCTTCTGAAGCCTCACCTTCATCCCTCCCTCCTTCTCCTGGGCGGTGGGCACGCTCCTCTCTGTGCTACCTGGCCCAGAATGGAATTGGAGCTGCCTCTTTCTGGATGCGAGGTCTCATTTGATTGCTTACGCCCTGCAAAGGTCCCGTTCCTGCTCTTCCTGTTCTGGCTTCCCCTTGACCGGGGACTCTCCGGGCCTGCTGGAGCCTGGGCTCAGGAGAAGGAGAGGACTGGCCTTAGTGGAGTGTGACTTCAGATGGCCCTTAAGTGTAGGCAGCAGGCGCACCCCGGCGCCTCTCTCAGCCCTGCTGGGGGGGCCTCACTCTAGTAAACAGAACCGTGGCCCAGACAAAAGCCATTAGACATCACGACGACATCCGTGCCATGCCATGTTCCTGGCACCAAGGGCCCGGCTAAATACCTTTGCAAAGCTCTCATTGTGTTGCATCCTGCCCGCCCTCCCGGCCTTCCCCGCACTATCAAATCTTCCTGCGGCCCTTTGTTGTCAAACCAAATATAGCGCTACATTGTCTGGCCTTCCACCCATTCTGGCTGGATAAAGGGGCTCGGTCCCCAGACTGGGGGCGCGCGGCTCTGGCAGCCTCCTCAATGCTATCTCACCGCCCCAGCCCACGCCGGGGGCCCGCAGCCGCCCCGCCCGCCCGCTCCGCTCCGGGGCCAGCCGCCGCGCCGCTGATACGCTGGGTATTCTTCTCCGGAGGTTCCCACGAGCATGTCACTAACCGTTTCCTGGGCCTTATCACCGGGAGGAAAAAAAGGAGCGCCTTTGAAGAGTGGAAACAAAACATCAGGCCCCATTGTTGTGTGACTTCCCCGGGCACAATCTAGGCTCTCCATCGCTCCGCACGCAGAGACTACAAACGCGGCCTAACACAGATACTCCAATCGGCAATTTGACCAGGACAGTTATTGTTCTGTATCTGCCATCTCTGCTCTGCGTTGTTTGTGGCTTTTAAATCAGCCTTTTCATTCCTCTCTCTTGGCTCGGAGCAAGTCAAAAGCCGCTGCCGGTGGTCGGCACTGTTAGAAGCAAGGGCCCAACCTGCACCCTCACGGGCGCCTTGCCGGTGGCCGCCCTCCTCGGCCTTGCCCTCCTGGCTTCTCTCTGCCCTCGCTCTCATTCCTCTCCTCTGCCTCCGCCTCCTTCCTTTCCCTCCCATTTTCTTTCCCCCCTTCCTCTTTCTTCCAGCCCACACCCCCCTCTGCCTCTCCCATTCACAAGTCAGCTCAGCCCTGTACCTAAGTGATGAGCGGGAAGCCGTGCTTCTGGTCGACTTCTTGGGAATGAATGAAGGGGAGTTGGGACTTGATTAGGATCGATTGCTCGGGCATGATTCTGGAGTACTAAATCTTAGGGAGCTCCCAAGACGAGTCCATCCCCTTGCTCTTACATGGGAAGAAGCACCAGAGGCTCTGAGACTAGAATGACCTGCCCGATACCACACGGTGAGTTGGTGACCGCCAGGACCGGAAGCCAGGTCTACCCAGCTTCTGGACCCTGGGCGGCAAATGCGGTGTCCTTCCTGGCTGCGACTCAAGATTCCCTCTGAGAAGCCCGGGGACATGTCCCTGTGTTAGGTGGCTGACTGAGATGCGGGCGGGCCTAAAACTCATCTTCCATTTTAGAGAAAACCAGGAAACATTTCCTAGCCTAGCACAAGGCGGCTAAGCACAGACCATGCGTACTGAAAACCCTAGCCAGCATATTGGCTTTGCTATTTATTAGCTGTGTGACCGTGGGCAAGTCACTACACCTCTCTGTCTGATTCCTCATTTTAAATGGGCGCAAAAGCAGAACCTACCTCCTAGGTTTTTTGTGGAGATTTATAGAGAGTCCCAGATGCATAAGAAACGTTGTGTAAATATTAGCTATTTATGATTACTGAGAAGAAGCCCGTACTAACCTCCACTTTTACATCAATCACTGGCTCATTTTGCTATCTTGTAAATGTGGACATCTCAGAGCTTGTCTTACAGTAGGGTGCTTGCACATGTACACTTTAGTTGGTCCCTCCCTCCACCCCGCCCCGCCTTCCAGTCAGTAAACACCTTTCCCCACCCAGCAGCAGGTACTGAGAACATACTAGGTTGCCAGACACCGTGGGTAGCTTGCCCCATGGAGCTTCTGAGGAAAACGAAGGGATTAAGAACATAAACACACAAATATCCAACTACAAACTATAAAGTGAAGGAGGAGTATACGGTGTGATGAAAAGTTGTCCTGGTGGACCAAATCTAGATTGGGAGTTTAGGGAAAGCATCTCCGAGACAGAGACCTTCCGGTTGAGTTTTAAAAGAATGATGGAAGGTGGCCGGGCCAGGAGCAAGTGAACACTCCTGGCAGAAGCATGATGGGGCCCCTCTGAGGACCTGACCAGAGACTGAAAGCCCGGCATGCCTGGCACAGACAGCTGGACGGAAGGGCATGGAGTCAGCAGAGGGTACACAGGTCACTCAAGGTCACGTGTGAATTTGGAATTTTACCCCCTAAGGCATTACAAAACCTCCAGTAGGTTCTAGTAGTTCATTTGGCTGCTGGATAGAGAATGGATAGAGCAGGGCAATTAAGTGCAGAGCAAAGAGGCTATTTATCTATTCCAGGTGGGAGAAGAGAGGAGCTTGGACCAGCATGGTGGATGTGGAAATGCAGACAGGAACTCACGGGGTATTTGGAATAGAATCTGTAGAACTCGGTGATGGTTGAACTACAGGGTAAGAAGGGAAAACAATGACTGAAAGAAACGTCTGACCTGAGCATCCAGGCTTCGTACTGAGAAGGGGAGCCTGGAGGAAGCTCCGGACATCAAGAGCTCTAGTTGTGTCTGGGATGCCCAGCAGACAGCAGGGTACTTGGATCTGGAGTTTAGAGTAGCAGTCCAAGCTAGAGATGCACATGTGGGCATTCACAGCCCTGTATTGTGGTGAATGCATGCCTGAATGAGTAAAGCGTTACTAAGATTGGAACTCAGATTTGTCTAACTGAACAGTTAATATTTTATATACTATTCAGTCACCCTCCAATGAACTAAATTCAGTAAAAGGGTGACTCTTCCAGTATCCAGAGACTAAGTCCAAGGCAAAAGGTGGTACCTCCCAGATCAAGACAACAGCCTGGATTCTCAGAAGTCTTGAGAACAGGCAGAACCCAAGAGTCTCCAGAGTCAGGGACTCTGGCATAAGATCTGGAGGTACATAGGAAGAAGAAGAATCCTGGGGAGTGTAGGATCCCATAACATTCCCACACTGCACTAGACCAAAACTCTCCAGAGTAGACTTTCATAAGTATGTACAGTACTCAGTATATTAGTAAGGCTGGGCTAAACTAGATGGCAAGAACAAACAACGCCTCCATCTCAATGACATAACTCCACCAAGTGCCATAGGGGTCAGGCACCATTGGAGAAGTTTTCCAAGAGCACTTCCTGGATCAGGACTATCTGCCCCCTCCCAACAGTGATATCCTGATGGTCTTGAAAGTGTGGAGAATTCACAGCTGCCCCTGACAACTTTGAACTGGAAGCCACACAAATGTCTGCCACTCCCAGCCTAAGGACCTGGCGTGTGGCCCCAGCCCAGCTGCAGAGGAGACCCGGTGATGGAGAGGAGCCTGTGGAGGCTTCATGAAGAGTGACTGTCCCTGCCTCGTGAGCAGGTGCACATGGTCTTTCCTTCTTCCAACGGGAGAAGTGATGAGACAGGATTGGGAGATCCAAGTGGGAGACGATTGGAGAGGGTCAAGGCTGGGGAGGATGGCATTCAATCAACCTTTGACCGAGAGCTAGGATCAGAAATCTGTGACTGGAACCATGTCTGTTTCTAGTCACAGGGATTCCATTTTCTCCCATTCTCTACATGTGCTACTCATTGGAAAATGCTGCTACTTCTGTGACCTGGAGGAGAGGTTAAAGTGATTTACTCTGTCACAGCATGAGGTCTGTGCCCTCTCGTGCCTGCTACCACCCAGGATCCATGTGGAGGAGAGAGCTGGGAGGGTGGGACAAGACTGCCCTGACTGAGCCGAATCCTGAGAGGCCACGTTCAGGGAACTTCCCACAGGCCCAAACCTTCCTAAGCCAGGATCATGGTCTCTGCCAGTGAGTTTCTGTATCCTTCCAGCATAGTGATCTTATCGGGGCAGATTAAAAATGAGACTGGGCCCATAAAACATGCATTATGGTCTCTCAAAGCCTCATAAAGCCAGATGAATGCCTTGCTCCAAAGGTCCTTACACGGAGTTTACACCTCTCTCCCTCTCCATAATGGAATTGTCAACGACAGATTATTGAAGTTAAAAAAAAAATTAGTTAACTTGTCAAGTTCAACCCACTTTGAATCATTTGGCCTCATGGATTCCCTGGAGTAAAGTGGATCGTGCCAGAAGATACCTGTTTTTCCTTGGCCCTAAATAGCTCCTCCACATTTTCCATGAGGCTTGGAGCAAAGGCACAGAAAGAAATCTTAGGGACAGCTCTTCCTTTCTGGGCGGTTCCATCTCCTCATCCCACCTTCCCACTGGTACCTAAGTCTGCAGCCCCAAAACAAAGTGTTTCAATTCAGGCAGATACCAGGCTTCTTATGAGTCTATTCCCAGGATTTCAGATCCTCTCCTGAGAATCAGCCTTGACAGGAAGAAGAGAGAGCTGCTAGACATTGGGCAGATTTTCTGTTCCTCTATCTCTGACCACCCCCGGCCAAGGGTAAGTTACCCACACATTGCAGCCTTGCCTTTCTGTTCTCAGGCAGGAAGGATTGAAGGTGCTGGAGTGGAGCGACGAACCCGGCTCGTGGCATGCTCTGACTCTAGTCAAGCTGCCACCTCGTGCAAGTGACTCTGTTCCCAGATCCCCTGCACCCAAGTCCTTGTCTTGCTACTGTGTCCTCTGAGAGTGGAGATTATCGAGGGGATGGGAATACTGACTGGGCTGAATCCAAGCCAGCCACGGGGACTTCCTTCCTATCCAACCTCCCCCGGAAGCTCAATTTCTTCCTCCTGTTTAAATAAATCCTTCCCTCGACTCCTTTCTCCTGGGTCCCAACCTGACCCACCCCTCAGCCTCCAGAGCTCTGAGGCCCCACTGTGGTGGGAATAGTGAGAGGATGAAGCCATGGTCTGGGGGGGGGTTTGGGTCCAGGTTTATGGCTTTCCTTTGGACTGGGTGTGATAGTTCAGCCAACATAGATATCAGCCCAAATTTTCCCAACAGGCTAGACTAAAGAAGGCATGTTCTTTTGAATAAAGTATTTGGACCTTCTTTACTACATCTCTGATGGCCTGACTCTAGAGATGGGCTGGCATCTTTTCTCACTAGAGCCTCTGTTCTCTCCTGGATCTAAAGCTCAGACCACATCTGTGCAGAAGATCCTTCATACCCAGCCATACGACCTCAACCACAATCTCCAGATTGGTCCTCAGTCCTATAACACTTCATGCTGACCATTGATTCAACCCCAATTACTCTGTATTATAATTGTTTCTTTGCATATCTGCACCCTGACTAAACTATGGGAATGTGGCAGGCAAGGGCCAACCAGCTTTGACTTACTGTTGTATCTCCAGAGCCTTACACAATGCCTGGCACATAGTACATGTTCAATAAATGTTTGCAGAATGAGTAGACATATTTAATTGTGTCTTCTTAGTCCGATTCTAAGCAGGCAAGAACTTTTGCTGTGTGTTGAGACTGTTTGCCCGTAAACTGTGTAGGGAAGCTCACTGATTCTGTGACCTCCTGGGATGGGCTCTAAAACACAAGTGAGACAGAATAAATGTCTGGCTGTTCTGTTTTGACTGGTGACAAGAGTTGCAAGCTGATTAATACATTTAAAGTGGTGATCAATTTGTCTTATTCACATCCTCTTATCTTGATTGTAATGAGTAGATCTTTTAACATAATGAAAACTGCATATTTCACTCAAATTCACGGTTTTGCATTCCAGAGGAGATGAAATGCTGTTTTTATTTCACGTTAAAATGAGGTGTAAGCTCTTGTCTTGGGAGGCCAGGGAAGGTGACAGGCAGCGTCTCTCCTTGAATGCCAGAGGTGTGGCATCTCCTAAGACCTTGAGTTTGACTATAAAGATTGTTTCCCAAACTGTGGGATGGGACTGCACCTCTTCGGTCACCTTGTCCATCTTTTCCCCATCAAATGAGTGACCTATAAATCAGCTCTGACTGGAGGCGATCTAGTTTTGACTTGAATGCTCTCTAGTAATGGAAAACTCGCCACTGTCCATTATATTTTTCAAAGCCTCCAAGCATAAGATTAATTCTTATATTGGTCCAAAATAGACCTCCCTATCATTTTAGAAAAATGATATTTTTTCTATTTCTGTGGTTTTTCCTTTTTCCCTTGATCCCTCTCTCCTTTCCTCCTTTTCTTCCTTTTCTAGCTTCTTATCAGTTCTCCCTAAAAATGTCTAATATCGTAATAACCTCTTAAAATTACACGAAGGCTTGGAGCTTTCATTGTGCTCTTCAAACAGCCTTGCAGAGTTGGATGAGTGAGTAGTTTCCTTTTGATTCTTTGCCAGTGCTGTTTCTCCTGGAATGGCCTATCCTCCAAGACAAGGGTGGCCTCTCTGACCCACACCCCTTTCTGCCTCTTTCACTGCCATATCTCCAGCACCCAAAAAGTGCCCGGTACACATTGGGTTCTAGTCAACAGTTCTTGAATGAATGAATGCATGCGTGAGTGACTAAATGGTGCCTGGAAGGTGTGACCTTCTGTGTGATCCTGTGCCCCTGTCCATGCTCGGTTGTATGACAGGCACCTCTCCACTAAGCAGTGAGGACCACACAGGTGCCAAGTGGAAATGGGGACAAAAAGGGACGTTCACATGCTCTTCTGTGGCTGCACTCATGTTGGGGATGCTAGGAGCTGTGAGAAGGCTGGGCTTTTGCTGTGGAGACCAATCAAGGGACAAGAACATTAGGTGCACAGACAAGAGCAGAGGTGAGAAGCAGAGAGTGAGTTGAGAGCTTACCCAGCCTGGCTCCCAGCGGTGCCTGTGGCTCAGCCATATCCTCATGCAGGGCTTCGGGAGATGACCCATGTCCTTATCCAAATCCCTCTTTATTGCTGAAGTCAACTCAAAATAATTTCCTTTACTTGCAACCAAGCATATCCATCTAAATAAAGGTAGACATAAAGATGTCTGTTTCTTGGTCTCAAAAGGGAGGCTGGGGAGGGTAGGAAATTCTCCCAAGGCCATGCGAAAAGGAATGACGGAGTCGGGACTGAGTGTTCACCCAGTGTCCCCTGATTGAGCTGTTCCTGTGCAGTCACTGAAGCTCGTCCCTGTCCCCTGCTGGAGCTCATCCCCAGCACTGCCTCTCGCTTTTAACAAAGGAAAGAGTCACTCCTGGAGCAGCCAGATGTAACTGAGCAGTGGGAACCCAAACCAAGAGGAACTCACTCTCCGTAAATTATGCTTTAATATATGTCAATTATTAATTCCTAAATAAATATTTGTTAATATTCAAAAGAGTTTGCCTACTAAGAAAAACTCAGGCTACACAGAATAATTAGTGCTTCTCACTGTGCAATGGTTGTGGCCCATAATGATTTTTTTTTTTCCCTTTCTTCATCTTTATTTTTCCTGAAGTGTGAATGCCTGGCTGTGTCAGGTTTCCTGGGGAGGGTTCGGCTGGCCATGTGTGCTTGGGAGAACGCAAAGGGCTGATGCTTCCAGGGAAGCTTGCATACAGGCCGGTGGATCTTTCTCTGTAGAACGGGATTCTGTGAAAAACTGGACTTGCCCCATGTCTAAGGACAGGGATTGGAGATCCAGCCAAGACTGGGAAAATTTAACAATGAGTTTGCCAATAGCCTCATAACATATGACCAGTATTGAGCACCATGCTACAGCTGGGTTAGCAGGCAAGGGTGGGGGTGGATAAGGAACAGAATAGATGAGTCTCCAGGGTTCAAGGTGTGTGCAGACTAGTAGGGCAGAGCTTCACGGTAAATTCTTAGCACAAGGGAGAGGGATAGCAGTCCACAAGAATGGGGTCCAAAAAACGCCAGGGGAGCTTGGAGAAGCCAGAAATGTATCCTATTGAGGGCAAGGGAAGGAGTCGATTTATGAAGGAAGGAGAACTTGAGACAGTCCACCCAAAATGGATAGGCTTTTGATGGGCAAAGACTGGCTTAGCATTTGAGTTTGAAAGGGCATTCAGGCATTTTCTCTCCTATTTAAGATACATTTACTGTATTTGGAGCAACTGATAGGTGCCAAGTCCTGGTCTAGGTACTAGAAATACAAAGAAACATCAAACTACATCTGTGACACATATAATGACAACTCATGATCTCAGATGTGATATAAAAATAGTTGCAATACAGGGAATTATGAATCCAAGAGAATGACTACCTATACTAAGGGGGAGAGAGAAGGCTTCAAGAGGTGGGAACTCTTGATCTAGATCCCCAAGGATACATTCACTCAATTCTTCATTTACAGAAAATATTTACTAAATGCCTACACATGTCAGGCACTCACTGCATGTTAAGATAGTGCAGTGAATGAAACAAACTAAGCCTTTTTATATCCTAAGAGTTCAACAAATTAAAGAGGAAGGGCATTCCTACCAGATGCTCAAGGAAGGGGATTGTCAGGAGGTGAGACTGGAGAAGTCAAAGCCACATTTGGAAGGACCTTGCAAGCTAGGCTAAACACAGAACTGTCTCTGGAGGCGATCAATGCAAAACCAAGGAAGGTTGTTAAAGCAGAATTTGAAGACGGTGACCTTGAAGGCTCTGTGGAAGCAGACTGGAAGAAGATGAAGCTGGAGGCAAAGAGGCTCCTCAGGAGGTAATTGCAATAGCCCAAGATACCCCTGACGAGGGCTTGAAGCCGGCACAGGTGGTAGGGATGGAGAAAGGATGCGTTTGAATTGGAAGAGTGGTTCTGTGTATATGTAAGTGCATGTGCCCAAGCTCTTTGAGAATCTCATCAAGGCTTCTTGCCCCAGAAAAATTCTCATACTCACCTACATGTATTATTTTGCAAACAACTTCAAGGGGCATGAATTCCAGATTAAGAAGTGCTGAGTTATGGAAACAGTGAGGGTGCATGGGGGCCAGGAGGTGAACACATAAAATAGGAGGTTGCCATAATGATTTGGGTGTGGAACTGTCAGGACCTGCCTTCTTGAGCCCTTCCTCTGACTGCCTAGTACCCCATGCCTTTGGTGGGCCTGGGCCCACAGGACCCCACAGCTACCCTGCAGATGTCCGTGTCCCTTATTCCCACCTGCCATTCAGACATCCACCTGAGCCACGGGCCAAGGGGGAAAGTTCCTTCCTGCCTTTTCTATTCTGAGGGAGAGTTCAAGGATTTCCCCAGTGACACTAACACCTCAGGGTCCAGACCCAAGAACACCTCCTCACAGATTCCAGAGGGCTGGACTGGGAAGGCTGGAAGACATCAACAAACCTCATTCCCTCACTGCACAGTGGGGAAAGTTAAGGATCAGAGAGGGGGAGGAGTTTTTCCAAGGCCACATGGAACAGGTGGCCAAGCTGGAACTAGAACCCCCGCCTGCTAATATCTCTCATCCTCTGCCCCTCATAGGAGGCACTGGTCCCCTTCTTCGTGCTTCGGGAGTGCAGCACGTGTGTTGCTAATGGCACCGATCATGCCCTGTCCCTGTACCAAAATCACCGGACACAAGCTCTGTGAGTATGTCCACACCCAATGCAGGGACTCCAGGAGGGCAGGATGTAGACCTGAGGGAGGAGGTGCTTTGGTTGTCCCTGAACACTCACTAGTTTGTTCTGATGTCTCACCGTCCCACACCAGGGAAACAGCAGCCCTTACGGTTAACCCACAGAGCCCTGAGATTCCCCAGCAGTAGAATAATGGTAATGATACCCAATTCCCAAGGGTGTCCTGTGTATTGAAGGGAAAGAGTATGTAAATGGACTCCCACTGCATACACTCAGGAAGTGCTCCTTCCTGCCTTTCTTCTTGGGACTTCTTCCCACACTCAAACTGAACGGGGCTGTGGGAAGAGCTGGGGATGCGGAAGGCTGAGTTTTTGGTCAGAGAAGAAGGCAGAAGCTGAGTTTTGCCTTTGTTGTGGCCTAGAGCTACATAATTTTTCCGTATATTGTATTTCCTCATAAACTGGCACAGATACCTTTGACTCAGAACCAAAGTCAAAAAAGGGCAATAAGCAGGAGAAGACGGTGCTGGGATGCCCTTGGCATAAACCATATCTCTGCTGGCTTGGGTGGGCGATCTCCAGGTGCCTGACCCCGGCCCCTTCTGAGGGATCTTTCAGGTTCATGGGTGGCCATGCATGCTGGTGGGAAGGAACAAGAATAGGGGCCAGTGAGAGGAGGTAGGGGCCAGAGAGGCAGGATCTGGACCCAAATCAAAGGGAGTTAGTTGTACCATCCTGTTGTCCCGGGTGATCCCGATTCCTTTGATTCTGGAGCATGGACAGGAAGAAAGAGGGCTTGGAGAGACAGTCCTGGGGGCAGATTCTGGCTCATCCCTTAATAGCTGTGTGAATTTGGGAGGGTTATTTAGAGTCCTTAAGCATCCGTTTCCCCAGTGTCTCCATCCATTGGGTAGGGATAATAATAGGAGCCACCTCAGTGCTGAGTCGTAGATTGAGTGAGATAAAGCATGGGAAGCAGCTGGCACAGAGTCCGTATTACCTAATGGCCAAAAAATCTACCGAGACACAAACAAGAGCAAGAGGGCAGCGCTGGCCCTCCTGGAACCAGCTGCTGTTGTCTCTGCCCCAACAGCTGCCTGAGTCCTTCTGCGGCCCTCTTTTTTTTTTTTCTTTTTCTTTTTCTTTTTCTTTTTCTTTTTCTTTTTCTTTTT